AGGTGACTATCGTGGCTGGGTGCTGTAGTGGATAAGGCTGTGGTGTTTGAAGTGATCGCTCTCTAGTTGGAATCCCAGTGGGAACAACATTACTTACTGGGACGCAGGTACATCCAGCTGACCACTGAGTGCTCATCCTGGATTCCACTGCTAGCCACTATCTATCATTACTACACATAATTAAAACATAGGCAATGTCGAGGCATCCACATAGGAGATCATATGCTAACGGAGATCGATCAATTGGGTTCGATGAACAATGGTATAATACAAACAATAACAAGATATTAATTAAGTAAAGAGACTCTTTTCAGAGAATTTATTTTCAAACTGTACATTTTTATATATATGATATTTGAAAAATTATATCCCATGAGGAAAACTAAACATCATGATGATGATGATGATGATGATGATGATGATGATGATGATGATGATGATGAGGATGATGATGATGATGATGATGATGATGATGATGATGATGATGATGATGATGATGATGATGATGATGATGATGATGATGATGATGATGATGATGATGATGATGATGATGATGATGATGATGATGATGATGATGATGATGATGATGATGATGATGATGATGATGATGATGATGATGATGATGATGATGATGATGATGATGATGATGATGATGATGATGATGATGATGATGATGATGATGATGATGATGATGATGATGATGATGATGATGATGATGATGATGATGATGATGATGATGATGATGATGATGATGATGATGATGATGATGATGATGATGATGATGATGATGATGATGATGATGATGATGATGATGATGATGATGATGATGATGATGATGATGATGATGATGATGATGATGATGACAATAATAATAGAGCGGACGGTGACATAGGCATATATGATTATGATACAAGTTAAAGTATGAATGATAGTAAAGTAGATTATGTAATATATGGAATGTTTCATAGAAGGTATATAACTGAGAAGATGGATAAGAAATTAATACAAGTAGTAGATCAAGTAAGTATTATGTAATAGGATTAGACAAGTTGGTTAAGATGAAACGATAAACAAAGAATACAAAGGTTAAATTAACAAAGAAGGAAGGAAAAGCTAATGGAGTGCGAAAATGCTATGACCATAATGAAAATTAGTGACTATTGTATATCTTTCTTTTGTGTATACACATCCGCTGTTTTAAGGAGTTGAAAATGAAGAAAACGTTGGAGGTTTAGGTGAATTTGATAAATAATAATATTTAAAGTTATTGTCTGGTTTTATTGCATGATGGAAATCAATCAAATATTCTAGAATAGAACTTCTAGCAAACTTTCTTTCACCTTTATAAAACCAAGCTGAGACATGTTCTTGTATACGTATAGGAAGCATTTCGTGGCTACAGTCTATGAACTAGTAGATACACATAGAGGCGGCTGAACAAGGAAGCTAATCTTTAACACATACAGAGAATAGGTTACGGTTGGTAAAAGCCAACTGAAGTCTTACTGCAAAAAAAGTTCTGTTGATTGATCTGCATAGACGATACTTTAGTACATCTGATACTAGATCACCTTTATATTCAAGGTTGATAAGGGATCTCTTCTTCGAGATCGAGGGAATGAACGCTTTAGTATTTACTTCTAGCATGTTTCTGTCACATCAACAACTGCTTAGGCTGGCTCGCCACTGAAGATCAGATGGCCAGAAAGAATAAGCAACAAGGAGCTCTGGGAACGAACCAACCAAGAACCTATCACTCAACAAATATGCAGGAGGAAGTGGAGATGGATTGGGCATGCACTGAGAAGGCCGACTGGGGACATCACGCGTCAGGCCCTTGAGTGGAATCCCCAGGGGAAGCGACGAGTTGGACGTCCGAGGGTGATATGGAGGAGGTCGTGCGAGGAGGAAATGAGAGCTTTTGGGCTGTCGTGGAAGCAGGTTCAGGGAACAGAAGTCACTGGAGACGTGCTACTGAAGCCCTATGTTCCAGTAGGAACTCAAGGGACTAATAATAATAATAATGTTTCTATCAACAAAATGGCTTGGGTAACCATTTTCAAAACAAATAATGACCCTTCATCAATACAATCTTCACTACAGATGTTTCTTATTCGATAGCAGAGAGAGTGAATAAAATTTCTTTTTCTGTTGATAGGCAACCAACTATTCCATGTTACTTTTCTGTAGATGGATCTTTTTGCAGGTATCCAATATTACATTGGGTGAGAAGCATATCGAGAAAAGGAATAGCTGATTCCTAAACTTAAGGGCTTGGTGATATTCATTGAATGGACAAAGAACACCGTCTAGATCAACATTTTTGTCACAGATAACAAATATGTCGTTCATATATCTTCTATAAAAGTCAGAAGTATTAATAGTTTGGAAACCTAAAGGAAGTACTCTCTTTCACGTATCTAGGCAGCATCGTTTCAACTACAGACAGCGACATAGATGAGAACGCCAAAGCCAGGATAGGAAAAGAAAGACAGGCCTTCCAGCATTCATCTGAAATCAGTGTAGAGATCTACTGCACTCAGCAGACAGCGTGAACAACATTCAAATTTTCAACATTAATCCCAGTCAAGTCAGTCCTTCATGTGATGGCGCATTGGGAAAAGTATTGCCAACAAACTACCGACATTCAACAATAGCTGCTGCCTACGCTCATTCGATACTGACACTGAAGATCAGATCAGACAGCCAGAATAATGAGAATGAGCAACAACGAAGTTATTCTGTCAGCGAACCCACCAACTAAGAAACTATTGTCTAACAACTATGCAAAAGATTAGAGTAGAGATGGATTGGATTGGACATAAACTGAGAAGACCGACTCAAAGATATCACGCGACAAACCTTTAAGTGCAATCGGAAGGGGAAAATGACGAGTTAGATGTCTGAGGGTGACATGGAGAGGAGATGGTGTGAGGAAGAAATCAAAGTTTCTGAGCAGTCTTGGAGCCAGGTTGAAAAGACTTCAGAGAAGACAGTGAAGTGGTGACGTGCAAGTGAAGTCCTATGTTCAACTAGGAACCTAAGGGACAAATAATAATAATAATCAATAGTTTGACAAAGTTGAGAATTTTTTAGTTTCAGCATGAAAACATCTGCTAATCATGGTCTCAATAGTAACCCCATCGCAATTCCATCTTTCTGTCTATAAATTTCATTACTGAAACTAAATTGGATATTGAATATGCACCTCAACAAATAAATAAATACACTGTAACAAGAAAATAAATGAATATTGATAGAAATAACGCAGCGTGAGGGGGTGGGAAGAGGTGTACAGGATAATACTAGAAGTTACATCATTTTCACGGCGAAGGTAATAAAAGTAGCTGAATAAACTTCCTTTGAATACAACGGGTTAAGTTTTTAAGGATGGATTATGATCGCCTGTGCTATGTGAAGTAAACCGGTGGGTGATCCATGTGGTATATTAATTGGAATATGATGAATAGTTTTGAAAGCTTTTCTAGTATCTACTTGATGCTCAGTGGCAACTTAGTGTGCAAGTATGCAGCTTTTATTTGTTCCTTGCTCAACCATGATGGATGGTGCTCAGAAATTAGACAATGAACCTGACTCATTGTACACCCAACCTAAAGCAAATCCACTGGAACAACTGATCTGATAAATCCACATAGAAGTAACAGAATCAGGCAGGTCGTCTTTATTTCTTCTACCTAGAATCGCGCGGTTGTAAAAGATGGGATACAATTTAGCAACTGAGACTGCCTTTTGCAAGGCTTCTTTTATACGTTGTATGATGATTTCACTAACGCATTGAAGTGTTAGGAATTTGCGAAAGCAGGTGGAATGGAAGTGGACCCTCCATACTCTTAACTGGAGAGTCAATAATCTACTCCGATATTGTCACCCAGAAGACAATCACGAGTACACTGAGTTTTGGAGTGGCTACCATGATGTCTACTACAGCATCGTAGGCTGTCACGCAGTGGGAACCAATCTCCTCCAGGATCATGACAGCAAGGTTCAACTCAAGAGGAAGGAAGGTCACAACCATACAATGCTACGCACCTACAAATAATGCAGATCAAGAGAAGAAGGAGGAATTCTACAGACAACTTCAATCAACACTAGACAAGACCTCAGCTGGCAATATCGAAATTCTAATGGGCGACATGATTGCAAAACTGGGAGCAGACAACACAGGAAGGGAACTAACCATGGATCGAGAAGCGCTAGGTGAAATGAACGAGAATGGAGAATTGTTTGCAGAATTCTGTGCACTCAACGATTTGGTGATTGTAGACAGTGTGTTCAAGCACAAGAATATCCACAAAGCGACATGGATTTCACCAGACCGACTTCATCTCAATGTGAAGAAAGTGGAGACGCAGTCTACTTGACACAAGGTCAAGAAAAGGAGCAGATCTAGGCTGACCACCACCTAGTGCAAGGAACCTTCCAAATCAAGTTAAAAGCCTTCAAGGAAGTTGGTGATAGATCACAGTTGAAGTTCAACACACAGAACAGAAACTGACCTGAAGGTCAAAACTGTAAAGGACATCTTCACGTTAGCCATCAAGACAAAATGGGAGATATCCAGCAGCATCCCTGAAGAAACCTGTGGAGTAGATACTATGAGGAAGAAATGAGAACTACTGGACTGTCGTGGAGCCAGGTTCAAAAGTTTGCAGAAAACAGAGTGCACTGGAGACGTGCTACTGAAGCCCTGTGTTCCAGTAGGAACCCACGGGACAAATAATAATAATAATGATCTCACTGGCAATGCCACTCTTAAATTTCAGCTTCAAGAAGATTTTCTTCTTAGGAACTGTTGGCGTTCTTATCCTAACTTTCCATAGGCTTAGATACAAACAAACAAATTGAAAAATTTCTCAACCAGTCTTTTTTCTGAATGTCTATTTTATTAGTCTTGCTGAATTTATATATTTCAAGATTGAAGTTATGTGATAATTATTTGCTATTTTCCTTCTGATACCATTCATTTCTTTTTTTTCAAGGTACAAATTTTTAATGAAAAAGTAACTATCAATACAGTGAGAGGGAAGTGTAATTCAATGGCCAATGTGAAGCATAAACCAGGTAATTTTATACTAATTTTTCTGTATACTTATGGTTATCTTTAATGACTTACAGTGGAATGCAGATTGACTCGCATTCTGTCCGATTCATGACTGACTCGTCGCCTTAGTGTGTGATGTTGTTCCCAACTGAGATTTGAACACGTTGCTCATCACTTTAAACATCAAACCGTCATCCAGCAAGACAACCGCGGGACAAGATACCTGTTTTACAATTGGTGGCTCACTGAATAGCGTTTCAGCGTTCGAAGCGATGCCTATTGTGTTCGAGTATCAGTTGGAAAAACACCACTTGCTGAGGTGTAAAAGAGATTATGACCAAGGTAAAATTAGAGATTGAACTTAGAGATCAGGGTTTAACCGATGAATTACCCGCGCCTTTGTTTTGTTCAAGTGGTGAATTTAGAAACCTTTCGAAATGTTTGATAAACACCCCTAATTTGCATAGCTTTTACCTCCTGTTCTACCCATGATCTGAAAATAAACAATCATGACTGTTTTCATAACGTTGCTAGTTTTTCTCCTCTCCCCTCTCAAGGCTGAATTCTCATTGGTTGATAACTACATGTGGATTTCGTGTTGTCAAGGTCATTTCGAAATGTATTTATTCAGTATTGGTGTTAACTGTATTGACTACTGTTGTTGAGACCGTACAAGCTTTCCATCAAATTTGAATCTTCTGTTCCTGTCTTCGTGTTTCCGTGGCGTTTGATGTTCTGATTTCTATTAGAGTCGATTCGTTTGCACGTTAGACTCGCATCGCTTATATAGAGCACACTTCATGAGTCCTTTATAACCATCAGTTGTTGAATTACGCTTACCTTCACGGCTATCCTAGTAACTATTGCAATAACCAATCATTTTTCTATATTTCATTTAAAATTTCCTTTCATAATGAAGTAAATAGACTTAAGGGGTTATCTCACTAGTCAATTGGCTGATCTTAAGATTCCGTGTTGATTACACCCAAATGATTTGGAAATCTTACGGTCTATACCTTAACATTCCTAACAGCTGATTAGTTAGTTATTCGACTGCGATCCAACTGTCGTGTTAACAATATTTTCGTTGGAAACTATCTGTCAGCCAAGATCATAAGGTGTGATCTCTGATACCAAAGTGTGATGAACCAGCATAATATACTACTGAGTAACTTACTTAGTTAGACAGAACTCAAACTGACCTATAGTATTTCACCCACCCAGTCAGATTACAGGGATATGAATACTGACCAGTCGTTTGGGGGTCGAGCTAGCTTATTAGCTTTATACCCCGACAAATTCAGTTCATAGAGCTGAAGTAATTCAAGCAGCTATGCCTACACACTTGAGTTAGCAATCAGAAATAACCAATGAGATTAAGATGTGGGACAAGTCAGACATCACGACTGGTACCCAATGAGACGATTGGATGTAGGCCGAGCTCTATCACTATTTGACAGAAGTAAGAGAGTGTAGACCATTGGTTTGCTACTCACTGGCTTAATGTTAATGTATTGATTGCAGAATCTTAAGATCCTCGGTTTAACTAACAAAGGAGTCATAGGTTCCCGCTGCTGAAGAGTGCCATGTTTAGATGAAACAACTGTACAGTTCTTCCAGTTGTTCTCCAACCACTGCCAGTCTATGATGAATACTAACGAGAAATCAGTAAATCACCTTTTAACCCTAAACCAAGTGGAATATGGCATTCCTTTAGTTGCTTCCTACCTCTGTATTACCAACCTGTCGCACATCTCATTATTTTATGATGCTGTTTCGAGGCTGGATGTAACACATGGCATTGGCTATCCCTGTTCCTGTACTGTTGTAGCTGATATAATCCTGCTATGGATAATCTTTCTTGACTTCTACTGTAAATACGAGTGATTTTAAAGGCCACCCTAATAATTACTTGAATAACCGATTACGTTACTTTATTTGCTACACAACTGACACCTGATTGGTTATTTCAGTGGTTTCTAGGGTGACTTTTAGAGCCAGCTGTCTATTCTCATTTGGCCAAGGGTGATTGAACTGCGTAAAGTCTCTCGATTTCACTGGTCTGCTTGGATATGAGAAACACAATTATGATTCTCCTTCTTCCTGCAAGAGTTCCGCATGGATCTCAGTGATAATATTGCTTTATATATATATATATATATATATATATATATATATATATGAGTGGACAAGTGAACAATAGCTCTCAGATTCCCCTCTTGGGGATGACTAAGTTCTTCGGTCAACGGAAAAAACCGGTAAGATAGCTGAAGGTGTATTGCAGACCTTAAAACATGCGCCAATGTATACTGTTTATATATACTTACAATGACCTTAACCATTTCAAGGTCATTCTAGAACGGCGAATCCTATTGATTTTCGCCTCTTCAACCAATCTGGTATTTACATATTTGTTCATATACTTTTTCTAGAAACTTTAAAAGGAAACGACTCGTTATGAAACATTCTAGGGATTCTGGTCTTGCTCAGAGTTCGTTGGTTTTCATATGTATGTATATAATATATATGCATGTTAATATACTCAATAATTAACCCTTTTTTCGTATCGTTTCATCGTATATAACATTGTCTATCCACTTACAAACAGCCTCTATTATTATATAATTTGTCCCTTGGGTTGCTAGTGGAACAAAGGGCTTTAGTAGCACATCTTTAGTGCACTCTGTTTTCTGCAAACTTTTGAACCTGGCTCCACGACAGCCCAGAAGCTCTCATTTCTTCCTCACACCATCTCCTTCATGTCACTGTCTGACTACCAACTCGCCATTTCCCATTTGGGTTCCACTCGAGTGCCTGGCCTACCGCGTGATATCCCCGAACGGTCTTCTCAGTGTATGCCCAGTCGATCTCCACTTCCTTCTGCATATTTGTTGAGCGATAGCTTCTTGGTTGGTTCGTTATTTGACCAGAGTTCCTTGTTGCTTATTCTTTCTACCTTCCCACCTGATCTTCAGAAACGAGTGAGCGTAGGCAGTTGTTGATGAATATCTGTAGTTTATTGGAAGTGCTTTTCGTAACGCCCCAAGTGTCTGAACCGTATTGAAACAGTGATTTGACGCTGGTGTTGAACATCCGGATCTTGTTCACGTTTTGTGCTGAGTGTAGTAGATCTCCACACTCATTTCAAATTAATGAACGCCTGTCTTGCTTTTCTGATCGTGGCTGGCTTTGACTTCCTCGTCTGTGCCGCCTGTGGTTGAGACAGTGCTGTCTAGTTGGTAGGTGAAAGAGACTACTTCCTTTAAGTTTCTCCTTTTGATGGTGACTGGAGCTTGTTATTGTTCTTGGTGGTGTTGGTTGGGTATCTTTATCACCTCTGTCTTCTCTACGTTCACTTGAAGTCCCGTCTTCACTGCCCTGCCTTTTCTGTCAACTTGTTAGTTTTCGCCCGTAAGTTTTCAAGTTTGTGCGACATCAGACGCAAGTCATCGGCGAAATCCAAATCTTCTAGGATCATTTCCGCGGTCCAGCGTATGCCCCTTTTCTCACTCCTCACTGTTTGTTGCATGATCCAGTGGACCACTATCAGGAAGATCATGGACGATTGTAGACAGCCTTGTTTTACTCTTTCCTGTCTTCACTTCAAAGGCATCACTGAGCTTACCATTGAGAAGTACTTGGCATGTGGCATCTTCGTATAGTTTTTGAATGAAGTTGATAAAGGTATAAGGTATTCCATAGTGTTACAGCCCCTGTTTTCACCTAATTTTAATAATACACAAGGAGGAAAAATGACAGAGTGGTAAAAAAACAGTAATGATACAATACAGATAGATACTTGTGTAAAGCTGCTAACATCTCATCTTATCCAACAAGAGAATACTTTAGTGTTATCCTGAAGCAAGTTCCAGTCATGATAATCTTATGTAAGGACACTTGAAGAGAAAGTTGAGAAAATTTCATGTAAACACTAACTCCTAGCCGTTAGAAGTGTAAAATCGTTTGTAATTCTCGAATTTGTAAAATATTTACATAATACCTAGAAGAGATTTTCTGACCAGCAGACTACCACCATTCTTAGTCTTTACTTCAGAACTGTAAGTTTTATTGCAGTTAAGATTGTATGTAATGGTTTAAGAAAAAATGGAAACTTGAATCTCAACAGGATTCGAACCAGTGACCTATATGTTACCATTTCGGTTCTTTATCAACTGGTATATGAATTCATGATAGATTACTATCCATTCATTGTATTCACATTGGTTGTTCAATCAGCCATACGGAGCATCATATGGATCGTCTATTTCGACTCTCAAAGATAACCGTTGTTCCGTAGACGTTTATTATTGATACTGGGTGGTGAGTGTATGTATGTGTGTAGTGAATATATTCCATCTCGGTCTAAAGACTCAGTGTTAAAGTAAGTTTTTTGCATTACGAAAACTGACCGTTGTACACGAAATCAACCACAGAGATGTAAGAGAACGAGAATTTCGAGTAGTTTCAGCTATCTTCAGACAACTGAACTGATATATGCTACTTCCACGCGGTTAAGTCCAGACTCAAAAGGGTTATTAGCTGCCTATTTAACATGAAACGCTGATTATATGCCTGTGACACAACTCAAACCATTAGAGTTCAAGTTCCAGAATGAAACTTCTGCCTTTTGGTCTATCAACTAATGCCTTAACCTTCATGGTTTCACTGTAGCGATGACTCCGATGACCTACAATGGCTGAACAAGTTGTTCTTGAAATTTCTACGATGCCAGGAAGGTCGATGAGACTAGAACTAGTCATTGTCACTCTATAGTGGCCTTCCAAGGAGGAATCGGTACTGCTGCCTGGAAAAGATATGACATGAGGTGACCCCCAGTGTTTACTGTTCCTGCCTTCCTCATAGACACTCCTCTTCACCTCCCAGTATTCTGTTGCCGGTGATATGGGTTTTTCATATCTAATGGAAGTACAATAAAATCTTTTGTGCTCCATAGTCATATGAAACAATCCATTTTGTCTTTCATATGGATTAGAGAAACAAATTCTACGGAGTGGGCAGCCAGGAAGTACAGACTCCTTGCACACTTCTAGTTGAATGTGAACTCAAATATCCATAATTTACCTTACTTCCTGTTATCTCCTTTCTTATGTTCATATTCTAACATAAACATAAAGCTTTATTTCCTTTCTAAAACTTTTCACTTAATAACCAAAGCAAACAATCCATTCCAGTAAAATATCATTCCTATTCTCCTGAAACAGTACTATAGACTTTCCAATGAAACTCTAAGCGCTGAATCAGACAATAAGTGTCACTTGTCAAAACTTTGAAATATCAAGCTATGAATGTATGCTGAGCTGTTGAAATATGCATATACAACTCAAGTATGGTTATTCAATTGGTTTCATTGAGAATTTCTCTTACAAACTACTGATTGAATGGATTAATTAGAACTAGAATAGACCATTACACTAATCGACAACTATTTCGATTGACTGTAGCAAGTTTTATAATAGTCAGACTTAGCTGGTGACTTCAATGTTCAAGCAGAGAAGTTAAGTTACTTCTAAAGGTATCTTGACAGTGTTTACTGAATCTTATGCCAACAGATCGATAGCGGTGATCATTGTTAGCAATCTTGTTCTAACAGTCAATTGTTTTTGTCCAGGAATAAGGAAAGATAGTGCTTTGTATGATATCCCTTGACTACAAACCAATGATCGACATAGATAGATCATATTCCTATAAGCTATCGTTGAAGAGTATCTCTAGAGGATTATCGCTCTTTTGGGAGTATCAGTCAATCACTTGCATCTTGATGAGAATAGGAAACAGGCCATAATGAAGTCTCTATGTATTTGACTGAAAGATAAGACCATCATAAGTGTATCTAAGGAAGAGGTAGTTAAGTATTTATCTAGGGATGGTATCAATTCTCTTTCTGATTTAGCCTGGTGTAATATACAGTGTGTTATTGAAGTGGTATTACAGACAGCGGATGAACGAAATCGAAATATTATTAAAAATCATTGGGTTTTTCACTACCTTATCCTTAAGTGATCGATGAAAGCAAACTGATTCCATTCAGTTCTAAACTCAAAGAAGAGAAAAAGCAACTTAAATATGAATGAAGTTTTTACAGTGATTATGTGTAGTGATTGTTCAATAAATCAGAAGAGATGAAGAAGGTATCAGAATTCAATAACACCTAGCATAATGTAAACGAAGTTGTCTCTTTCATCTACACCTACCTACGCAGCATCATCTCAATAACAGGTGACACAGGCACAAATGAGCATATCAAAGACAGCCAACATTGCAAAGACAGAAAGACAGACCTTCATGCATTCACACTAAATCAGTGTGCAAATCTACTGCATTGCACTACACTCAGTATACACCGTGAACAACATCCGGATTTTCAACACTAATTCAGTCAGTCAGTCAGTCAGTGAGTCAAGTCAGTGCTTGCTTCTATGTGATTGTTGAGAGACTTGGTAAGTCACGAAGAGCATTGCCAACAATCTACAGACATTCATCAACAGCTGTCATCTACGCTCACTCGATACTGACACTGAAAATCAGATGGCCAGAATAATAGGAATATGTAAGAAGCAGCTCACTGTGGCCTGCCATCCAACCACACAACCGACCAACAACCTATCGCCCAACAAATATGCATAGTCAGAAAATGGAGATGGATTGGATTGTATTGGACATACATTGAGATCGTTTGTGGACATCATGCGTCAAGTCAGGCCGTCGAGTGCAACTGGAAGGGGAAACGACGAGTTGGTCATCCGAGGCGAGGATAACATGTAGGAGATGGTGTGAGGAAGAAATGAAAGCTTGTGGAGAGTCGTGGAGTCAGGTTGAAAAGACTGGAGATAACAGAGTGAAATGGCAATATACTAGTGAAGCCATATGTTCCACTAGTGGACCCAAAGGACAAATAATAAACAGATGCTGTTGGTGTGACCATCGTTGAAAAAATTGAATCTTTGGCAACCATTGAGGACACGAGGTTAGAAAGATGAACGAAACACCAATCATTCCAACTTGCAAGCAAAGAGAAGAGCCTTCTTGTGATAACTGCCAAGGAATCGACTCTGCAAGTCAACTGGAGAGTACAGGTATCCAACAACAACTAATACTCATTGCACAAGAGGGGGCTGTCGTGTCCCAGTGGCCTAGTGGGTACCGCATTAATGTTTGAAGCGATAAATATTGAGTTCGAGTCTCAGTGTCAGCCAGATCACTGATGGGGAACGGATACATTCAGCTAACGGGTCTGAAGTAAGACAAAACATGACCCTGTATTCCACTGATAGTTACAAAGAGTAATGCGATACAAAAGAATCAGTTGAGGTAATATCTTATATATAACCCTTAGGATCATAATAATCCAGCACTTAAGTGAAAGAACCTTACAGACGTCAGACCCAGATGAGGGAGATTATCTTACTGACCATATGGTCGTGTGTTGATGAAGGCTTACAAAATGCTTGATCTTCTAAACACTTTAGATATGAATCTGAGTATATTTAGCACAAGCTTTTACATCGGTTGTGACGAAATTTAGGATACGAAACACCCACTTGGCACTGGATAGATTATGCAATCTCGTATTCAAATAAAAAATCTGATTGGCTATCAGAGAATCAGTGTACTACGCGTCAATCCACTTTATTCTACTCTATGACTGAGACAGCCATCCAATCGACTGATAAATTTGTGAACCCTAAGCAACTTTGTTGATTGGGATATGTGTTGTGCTAAAGTTAAATATAGTACCAATTCATGAGGTCTTTAGATCTTGGTGTCAACTTGACTAAAGTCCTGAAAACGACATGAGACAATAATTTCAGATTCAGACCGATATCGCTTACAGTTGTACACATAGGCTCACTGTCTTTAATGAAACTAACTACATATCATCATCATATATATATATATACTAAAAGTTTGTTTTATTACTTTTTCAAGGTGGTGGAAATGTACAAATTGTAGATGAAAAACTTGATTTCACTTCAAATACACAATCAAAAATTCGATCATTACAAAATGTAAAACATATTCCTGGAGGTGGTGATATAAAGGTAAACTGATAAATAAAACCACATATAAATGAATAATTTAGTTTATGTAATTCTTTCAGGCAACAGTGTTTTTTTTTCAGATTAAAATTTTCTCTAAAGTTTCTTGGCATTGTAAAATTGTCAAGACTTGATCAATCTGTAGATGCCATAATGGAAGTGGATTCTTTTTAGTGATTTTCAGGCTTCAATAGTCAAGCCTTGATGATTGGAAGTGATTGTTAGTGAGCATAGTTTTGCAAGAGGTTAGGTAGAATTTTCAAATGTCACTGGAGAAGAACATAGCTCATTGAGACGTAGTTATGTCCGGCTGATGAGCCCACTACTAGCCACTTGGAAGTCAATTATTAGCTGCATATTAATGATGGATATTGGTATGCAGTGGAATTCAACTTAACGCGCATTTCGTCCCTCTTGGGACTCATCAGTTGGATGTAGCTGCCATTCAGTGGAGGGTGTTGTTCTCACTAAGACTTGAACTCGATCGCTACAAACTACAGGGCTTTATCCACTAGACTATCTTGTTACGACAACCACTTCTTTCTTGACAGATGTAGTTTGGATGTTGTTGTTTATATTATCCCGTCATTAATCATTTCGGTCCACTCAACGACAGGACAATACGAGAAACATCATCATATGTCGGATGCACACGTGAACTGATTGATAGCTAATATATAGAATATGAGGTAGACGAAAGAAGTGAACGCAAGGAGGAGGCTCCTAGTGGAACGTAGGGCTGCAGTAGCACGTCAACAATTCACTCTGTTGTCTCCAGTCTTTTCAACCTGGCTACACCACTGCCCATGAGCTTTCATGTATTCTTCACATCATCTCCTCCTCCATGTAACCCTTCACTCAGACGTCCAAATGGTTGTCCGTCTTACAGGCTCCACTTGATGGCCTGACTTGGTGCGTGATGTCCACAAACGATCTCGATGTATATTCAATACAATACAATACAATCCATCTCCACTTTCTGACTATGTATATTTATCGGACGATAGGTTGTTGGTCGGTTGTATGGTTGGTTGGCAGGCCACAGTAAGCTGCTTGTTACATATTCCTATTATTCTGGCCATCTGATTTTCAGTGTCAGTATCGAGTGAGCGTAGATGACAGCTGTTGATGAATGTCTGTAGATTGTTGGCAATGCTCTTCGTGACTCACCAAGTCTCTCAACAATCACATAGAAGCAAGCACTGACTTGACTCACTCACTCACTGACTGACTGACTGACTGAATTAGTGTTGAAAATCCGGATGTTGTTCACGGTGTATACTGAGTGTAGTGCAATGCAGTAGATTTGCACACTGATTTAGTGTGAATGCGTGAAGGTCTGTCTTTCTGTCTTTGCAGTGTTGGCTCTCTTTGACATGTTCATTTGTGCCTGTGTCATCTGTTATTGAGATGATGCTGCGTAGGTAGGTGTAGGTGAAAGAGACTATATCCGGTGAAATCCATGTCACTTTGTGAATATCCTTATGTTTGTACACACTGCCTCCCTCCAATCATCATAGCATTAAATGCGTAGAAGTCCGCAAACAGTTCTTCATTCTCATTCATTTCACCGAGTGCCTCTCGACGCATGATGAGTTCTCTTCCTGTGTTGTCCACTCCCAGTTTGGTATTCATGTCACCCATAAGAATTTCGATATCACTGTCGGCAACTGGGGTGCAGTTTTGTCCATTACTGATCCCAGTTGTCTGTAGATTTCCTCCTTCTTCTCTATATCTGCATTATTTGCAGGCGCTCAGCGTGGCATTGTACGACTGTGACTTTCTTTCTTTCTGAGTTGAATCTTGCTCTCATGGTCCTGCAGGAGGAGATTGGTTCCTACTGCATGACGGCCTTCGATGCTGTAGTAGACATCATGGTAGCCACTCCAAAACTCAGTGTACTCGTGGTTGTCTTCTGGGTGACAATATCGGAGTAGATTATTGACTCTCCAGTTGACAGGTTGGAGAGTCCATGTGCACCCCATCTGTGCTTTCGCAGATCTCAAGCATAGCAATTCTGTGCTGTTTCGTCTCATCTTTTGGCAATCTGGGTAGTCTTACTAACCAGCTTCAAACAAGGTGTGGAAATTCCATGTCCCCATCCTTACTTTCGCCTTCATCGACAGAAGAGAAGGCACGCCAACCGATTGGTCTCCCGGTGACTTTTACCAAGTTGCATCACTCCGTCTCCCCGAATCCAGTGAGGAATATGTTGGAATTTATCTTTTATATTTTCTTTGTGATCTGAAGTTTCTTTAGCGGTTGGATTGGTTTTACGGGATAGGGTTACTAGTCCTCCTACGCCCAACCTTTCTCTCTTCATCCAGGTTCAGGACCGGCTAGTGACTAGTGGACTAATTAACTAGGCCAGGTTAAGACGTGATATGCTTCCTTTGGATTACTTCAGGCTGTTAACACTGTGTCCAGTATCAATCAGATGTCGATCACTTTACAATATGGCCACTAGGCTATGAAGTTCAGTATGGTGATGCGGCTGCAGAGATGGCAGATGGTTGTAGGTAAATGTTAGGAAACCATCGAACTAGGTTGCGTTAATCGTGGCACTCGTTACAAAAGGTAATGTCCATCATCATCCATCCACGTCAGCATAGGTTCAGGCATTACTGCGTGACCCTCCAAGTTACCGCACCTCATATCAGTACATCAAGTAAAAAGGCACAGAGGTGAAAGATGAAGGTGAGAAAATTCAGTCAGAAGGAATATGAAGTACGAAAACAGAGAAATGAAGAATGAGATGATGAGATTCGGTATAGCGATGTTAAGATGAGGATAGTGTATGTATACATCTGTGCCACTGACATCGGTTCTCAGCCATATCACCTAGTCTCCAATAACTGATTCCTCTTGCTGTATGGTGGACCCCAACAAGCTGGTCTGCATTGCTACCACATGACTCAAATCAGCAGTCAGAGACTTCATGCATTGGTGCCATATTTTAGTCTGGCCATCTCGGGCCTTCTTCCACCCTAGGACTACTTCAGCCAACGTTGTATGACGAGGCAATCGGTGACTAATCATACGTAACACGTGTCCCAACCATCTGAACCGATGAAAGTTCATAACCTCGTCAACTGATTCAACTGACCTCTTCTCCCTGAAACTCTACACCTGACTTCTGCATTACTCACGTGGTGACAACACAGAAACACTTGAAGCCTTCTCATGTTTTCCACCTTCAATGGCCATGTTTCACAGCCATGCAGTAGAGAAGAGTAGACTGCTGTGCAGAATACGCGACCCTTAGTAGACGATGGGATATCACTGTGGTGCCACAGGTGGCGTAAGTTAGCAAAAGCCAACCGAGCAAGTAATGTGCCCACATTTAGTACAAAATAGCCACCTATTAAAGTTGTTACTCTTTATAGAAGATGGGAGGCGTCAAAATTAAAAGAAATCGAAAAGCATTCAATCCATTTATCCGAAGAGAAACTTACCAACAACTATGTTAAGCTTGCAGTTAATGATTTCTAAAAGCCTGCAAAATTCTAGGCAGGATGCATGCCTATCCGTAAACAGCTCAGTAAACAGTTACTGGCTTAATTGATTCGTCTTGTATTCTATCTTGTTCATCCATAGTTTCTTCTTTATTGAATCTACGATGAGCTTACCACAAGTGTACAACAGAGGATATATCAGTTCCTTTAAGGTCACAAGTGTATGTTGCTGATGAGTGCCAGCAAGTACGAAACTTGGATCAAGCACAGTTTCTTACTAATTGCCCCACAATCAAATTATTCACAAGTCTAGAACTTAGTATCAGTCCAAACCAGTTGTTGTTAGTACGTCCATATGTGATGGATCCAACGTCCTCATACACTCCCATCATACGATAACTATTGTTGAAACTCATGAACCGTTTTGAATGAATTTCTTTCCTTTAAAAATGAGTAATCTGCATACTTTTAACATATCAAATCATTTAATATCAAAAAATAAGCGTTTATATTCTGCGCAAATAAATCATCTGTTAGTATTCATTCAACTAAACAAACAAACACACATAGACTAACGCCATTCATTGTTCAATAGCTCAAATATATTGATTAATTCATCTTTTCATTTATTTATTTATTCACTTCTGTATAATTTTCTGTTAGATATCTACTGAAAAATTAGATTTCAATCAGAAAGCAACATCTAAAGTTGGTTCACTTGCAAATGTTAAATATAATCCAACTGGAGGTGATGTGAAGGTATGCCAGATTGATGAATTATTAATGTTCAATAATGTGTTTTTTTTTGGTAAACGTGTATAGAGCGCGTGATTTGAGTAGTGAAATGAGTTAATTAAAAAAAAACAATAAAATCTTTTTCCATTAAATTTCAATCATACAATGGTTTGGTAGTATTTTATAGGGGATGTTTCATCATCTTCAGCTGTAACCTTAATGAAGAGTGTCACTCTAAAGGTCATTTCTCAGTGACCTTTTGAATAGCTAATCACATTTTACTATTCAGCCTAGTCGTAGTTTGAGTGACCTTCAGAATCACGCCATAACAAAGAAATAACTCTAAAGGTCATTCTAACAACATCTGAAATAACCAAGTAGATGCCTTCATTTTACGAAAATCTCCCTTTCTAACCAAAATAAAGAAACCTGATTGGCTATTCAAGCTATTGCTAGAGTGAGGAGTGTTGCTTGCTTACCTTGACAAAGAGACAGAGTTTTCATCAACATAAAAAGCTCTCTAGGTCAAAGACAAAATAACTTTCTCTGATTGGCTGTATTAAATGAGAAATTGTCCGATAACTCAAGCCAGTGTTTCGCATTGATTTTTGGTTTTACATTAAACACAGTTTACTCAAATAGTTTCTGCATTCTACATTTCAGATGAATTGATGTTCAGTTTTTGTTGCCTCCTCCTTTGACTTTTGTACATCCTTCTTATGTTTCTCGTCTACTTCTTCAAACCCCACACCGATTGTATGATAATTCGATGTGTTTTACTCATGGACATCAAGGTATATAAATGTTAGTTCTATAGGAACGATCGGCAAGAGGCCTTATTCTTAAGTTTCGTGGTTGTTAGCACTCGTCAGCAACGCGTATCTGTATGCTCGAGGAAGCTAACATCCCATCTAGGGTTCGCACCCCCATGAGTTGTAGCCAGAAATCTTATCACTGAGCTATTCGTGCTGCGACTGACCTACTGCAGGAATGAGTCAGGCACACTAAATGGTCACTGGAGGGCAACCATCCTCATGTCGTCAACTCCTGATCGATGCTCGATCTCTATTGGAATATGAGTTCCTACACGGATGCCTTGATAATGCCTTTACTTTCCACTTCCTATTGATAATGGATAGTGGCTAGCAAAAGAATTCAGAGCGTGATTTCGTCCTACATGAGAGTCATCGGCTGGATGTGCTTGCATCCCAGTGGGCGGTGGCGTCCCCACTGAGATTCTAAACCCGTACTCATCACGTCAAATGTCCCGGGGGAATCCACTTGCCGACAGGGGCTAGTCAATTCAGTGCTGTATAACAGTAGCAAGATACAAGTATCACTAAATACAAAATGATATCAACTGTTCAAGACGTGATCTTACCACATTAGCGCATTGGGTAACACTTCGGCGTTTAAAGCGATGATTAGGAAGGTTCAAGTTTCATTGGGTATGTCACCACTTACTCAGGTGTAAGTATATTCAGCTGAAGAGTCCTGAACAAGATGAAACACGTGTCCAGGAATCCATTGTAAAACTCCACTAGCGGAATAAAGACTCATACTTTTCAAGGTTTTGTGAGAGCTTATCTAGAGTTGTTACTAGAAGCGAATTGTAGTGCTAGGATTTAGTCCACTTCTGACTTGTTCATGGGTTGAATTTATAAGTGGGCACTGCGGTAGAATTTAATTTTATATTCATTTTGTTTACTTGATATATAGTCCATAGTGAATGATATAGCAAAATTTACTGGATGACGTTTTAAGCATAACTTACTCCTGCTGTTAATCAGATCAGTGTGTAATCACGAAGCACTTTCAACAGTCGACTTTTTATAGTCCTATCACCTCTTATTCTTTATATTTCTATTGGTAGTCAAATTCTCTATATCTGTAGGATAGAAGGGTGTTGGATCATTTCTGTTACATGCGTTGACTGGATGTTGATTCGATGAACAAAGATTCAGCAATCAATCTCTTCTTATCTTCACCCAGTTATATTGGAGTCAAGTACATTGGTGGTAGAGTTATGCAATATTCTTCTGTACATCCCAACCACAATGATGTTAGCAAATAGTAGATTATTCTGAGGTCTAGATAGTCACCGAATTCCTGCTAATCTGTGGCTAATGGTGTTGTTATCTATGCATACCGTGAATATCTCTGAGAGTAATGTCCAGTTAAACAAAACAGTTTCTCATTCCGCATAGCCTTTCACATCTAAATGACTACACTGTGTTAAATATCCCCTATTTACTGGACTGATATGATTATTCTTAAGTTCAATAAGGGATTAGGCATTGTTGATGTTGAATAATGTTATCCATTCTCGGTGTTCAAATCGAATTCCTCGCAGATATCCCATCAGAAGATATTAGAAAATTGTAAGCAAAAGTAATCGATCATCCAGTAAAACGTTTAAACATGAATGATATTGATACAACATGATAACTGAGTATGAAATGAAAATTTGGATGGCGGATGGATTCGAACCAGTAACTATCGGGTTTCCGACTGCTGAAGAAATTTTTATTTCCCTTCAATCACCTATGGGTTGGTTTGGCCGACTGCCATGTGAAATCGTGATGCGTCACTATAGCTTGATTGTATTCACTCTGACTGCCTAGTCAGGACATACCATCCCAATGGAAATCGAAGTGAATCGGCTCAGTTGGTAGAGCATTGGGTGGTGGGGATGGGGTGAGGTGAAACCCGTCCGGTAGCTCGTTCGAATCCGGCCACACTGTGATACAGTATTACTGTTTACTGGATGACGTTTCAAGCATAGATTACCATTGCCCATAATCATATCAAAGTGTAATCATGCAGCACTTTCAACATCTGATTTTTTATAGTCCTCTCATCTCGTATTCTTTGTTTCCATTGGTACTCAAATTCTCTATATCTGTAGGATAGAAAGGCGTTGCATCATTTCCATTACATATATTGACTGGATGTTGATTCGATAAAGAAAGATTGAGTAATCAATCCCTCTCTCTCTCTATCTGTCTAATTCTGTTGGAATAGAGTACAGTAGTCTAATCCCACAGATCTTATTGTGTGGATGTGTTAATGCGTGCAATGCAGTAACTGAGTGTTTTTCTAGATTACTGATCTTATTTGGTGTCTGTCATTGAATGTATAGCTACATTCCTATGTTCGGTTATGCTGACTGACCCCGACCGGCTAGTTTCACCGATGTACTTGACCTGATTCACAGTGATTACATGAAATTTCATAGATTAGATTATTTTACTGAATTGGTTATGTCAGATGCTTAAGCCAGTGGACAAAGCTCATGTCTGAGTGGGTTTGAAGGTTTCAATGTCACCCCAACTCCAACCTTGTTGAGGATCCTACGTAGAGTTCCTGATGTATCTTCGCTTTAGAGTAACACAATGAAGGCTGTCAACTCCTCTCTACTCGTGTTGTCGCTATCATTCTAAGCGGTGATTGGGCTTTGTATCATCTCATCGCATGTCAGTTAAAGCAGATTTAGTCAAATGTCTAAATGACAGAGGTAAAATACTCATTAGTCAGTAGTGTGTTATTAATTAGTAATTACTCTCTACAGTTTGTGAGAAATTCGTACGAAGACATAACACGCAAAATGATAACAGTAATATGAATACGAATAATAACGACAACATGAGTGGGAAGGAGTCCACAGTCTCCATTGTCTTACCCTACCAAGAAGAAATATCAGAAAGTGTACGTAGGATTGTCAACCACGCTGGAATTAGGGTGGCATTTAAACCTACAAACCCACTGCGAGATGAATTTTGTCAGCGTAATGATCACATGGAACCAATTCAGCAAAAATAATCTAACCTGTCAAATTCCATGCAATGATTGTGAGTCAGGTCAAGTACAAAGGTCAAACTAGTCGGTCGGGGTCAATCACATTAGCAGAACATAGGAATCTAGCTAAATATAGAATGATAGACCCGACTAAGATCAATAATCTGGAAAATAATACTCGGCTACTGCACTGCATGTATTAGGATACAACTCGATATAGAGTGGAATAAAACCACTGTACATAAGTCGAACATTGAAATGGTGGAGAATATTTGGAGCTCAGCTGAGTGGTCTTAGTTGTATTATGTTCTCTGAGATGGATTGTTTAACCGTGGAGAAGCTTTCGTCGTCTTTCTAGAAAAGACATCCTCATCAACACTAACTTCACTATGAAGTGACCTGTCAATATCTCTCCATCAGTGAGTGATTCAGTAACTTGCTCTGACCAACTGGTTCCCGATTGGTTATTCCCTTTGATTGTCGTGTCACTGCCTGATTGCATAGATTTTCCTTTTGACTGTTTCTCTGCTTCACCTATCACCCTTCTGTCGTTTATCATTTATCTTATTGGTTGATAGATTGTGGTCTATATCTATACATCTGTTGATTGCTGACTGACTGACTGACTGAGGTGAATGACAAGCTTCTAGGAATTCTCCGATGATGTTCTTTGTGTTTCCTCTCTCCGTCAAAGATTTCTACATTGTTGAAATTGAATTCACGTCTATAATTATCAACGGGTACTGAAACGAGTGATGAAATTTCGTGACGTTTAATAGCCAATTGGTGTTCATGTAGACGATGACGAAGGTGGGCGGCAACTTTGTCCAATGTAGCGTTGACTACAATTATTGCAGTTGATTTTGTAAATGATATTCGGTTTGTCTTCTTTGGTTGCTGCATCCTATGATCTGTATAATAGGGTAGGGTTTGGTGGAAATATGTTGGTTTATGAATGTCCACACCAATTCCAAGTGATCTCAGTAACCTTGTCGTGATTTCTGATATATTCTTTATGGGTGGTAAGATGGTGCGTTTATTGATTTCTGCTGATGACTTTGTAGTTGATACTACCTGCTATCAAAGGTGTTGGTTGGGTGTTGATTCGATGAACAAAGATTTAGTACTCAATCTCTCCCTCTCTGTCCACCTAATTATATTGGACTTAGTTACAGTTGTTTTATCCCCCCCCCCATTGCATTGTGAGGTTGTATGTGCTTGTGCAT